CCGGGTCACGTGGCCAGCGTGACAAGCTGCATCTGGCGAGCCAGCACAGCACACAGAACGCCGTTTACAATCCCCCAAAAGACACAAATGGACAGCATTTCTTACTAAGAAGGAGAGAGCCTGCAACAGTCAGGACTCCTTTTCACACACACAAAAACAACTCCAAATATTCATTTTAAAAATATATTGACATAATAATTCTATATCCACCTAAAATAGAGAGACATATATTAGACTTGGAGCCCAAATTTATACAATAAGTATAATTTTAATATTTCTTGCAGGATAGTGCCCCATTTAAAAACAAAGCAAAAGCCTAATACATCCATTAGCTGTTGATATAGTATTAACCATGAGGAAGGAGCACAGAAACATGTTTAATACAGGAGTTATTACTATATTTTGGTTCTAGGCATCTTTTAAATGTGTTGCATATGTTTTCTTTTAGGACTAGGATTGATAGGTGGAAGACATGGCATGGAAGGAGAGACTGTCCAAGAGCTGAGAGAAACATAGTATGGGATATGAATGGCCTAGGTGAATTGTACCTCATAAAAGAGCCTGAATGCAGTTACCAGTGTACAGTAAACAAACACTTCTCAGTATTGCTGCAAAAAGAAAAGTATCTGATTCAGGTGCCTGAAAATACACTAGAAGCCTCCTTATGGACCTCACAGTTTAATGCTCATTTAAGCAATAATACAGGCATCCAGGTTGAAGATGAATTATGAAAGGCCATCAGCTGTAGCTATTGCCTTGTGCCATTTTAAAAAGGAGCTGCTAGTTTCACTTTGTTTTATGAGCTTAGTGTAGCCTGTTGTTATTGGATCTGTCACATAAAAGCCAGCAAACCATGCAAATGAAGATATAATCTTTTATGCTTTCACAGTTTCTGGATAAATTGTTTTGTGCCATTCCAAAGTGTTTCCCCAACAACTAAGTTGGAGACTCTGATTCACGTACTGTTCTATCCATACAAATCCAATTGACTTTAGAAAGCTTGGACAAGTTTAATTGCTGGAGAGGTAGAAGCAAAAGTTCTGGATCCAAATCTAAGTATATTGTCACCTGAAGAGATAGCTTCTCTAGTGAGAACTGTGGGGAATTACAGTCAAACGTAACTAGCAAGCTTAGGGCTAGTTCATGCATGAAGGGGTTAAGACCACATAATTGTATTCCTAGACTCAGCTAGGTCACGCCCCTCACCTGAAAGGAAGTTATGTTTCCTCCTTTCTTCATTCTCTCTTTCACCATGTGAATTCACCAATACAGGATGTACCTGAGCTTGCTCACTACGAGCTCAAACCACATGCTTAGAGTTCTTTCACTATATTTTGTATCCCACAATCTGATGCCTTTCAGTTGTTGTTGGACTTCAATTCCCATCAGCCCCTGCATAGCCAATGGTAAGGGATGAGGGGAGTTGTAGTCCAGCAACATCTGGAAAGCACCAGGTTGAGCAACCTTTGAAGCTTGAGAGTTTGAAACCCCCAATATACAACATGTAGCCCTCACTCCTGGTTGCAGCTGATGCGATAAATAGGCTGTTTCTTCCTATTGGAAGAGCTATGTCTTGTTTTGTTGGTCACTGGAAGGAAGAGAGAGAATAGAAAAGCTTCCTAGTTAACAACAGAAGGGCAAACTGATGCCCTTGCTGCACACACTGGCAGGAAGCATTATACAGAATGGAGCAAGTTCTCAGATTAATCACTGTTCTTCTAAACTTGCATCTTCTCTTCTTAGCAAACGACGCCTAGTCTGAACAGATGACACTACCTGTCTTTACACACCTTGCCGACAACTTCCATTAAATTAAATTGGTTTTATCTAGGATTCGGTTCCCTTGGATACCTTCTGTTTCTTTTTTCTTTTTGCTGTTGTCCTTGTCTTCCTGCAATTTGGCCACTTTCAAATTATAGTTAGCTGTTCCCTGAAGAATTCAGACAAGATTATTCGACTGCATGCGTTTCCCCCCCCTTAGCGGTAGCTGCACTGTCAAGTTCTGGCACTTTTGTGCATATTTGTGCATGCCCTCTCCTTCCCCATACCTTTTACCATAAGATAATAACATATGGCATCATGCAATTAGATGAGTTGGTGAATGAACTGAGCAACACAGACAGACTGATTGGAAGAAGACAGCTTCTGTCTCTGTAATCAGCTATAACAGGAAGTGAAATGCAGAATAAGCATTAGGCAGTTTCGGGGACTTTGGAATTGGACAGATTTTTAAAAATAGACTTAAATTAATAATAATGCAGCAGATCAGTAAAACGGACCAAATTCACAGGGCAATCCTACTCTCGGGCTGCACCAGATGGGTGAGGATAGGATTGCAACTAAATCCCCATCCTTCTGTAACTACCAGATTATGACAACATAATGATGTCGTTATGCTATCATAATCTTAAATCAGTGTAAATCCTATGCTAGTATAACTACAATGGCATAAGGGAGGAGAAATAGAGGATTTGGGGGCACAGCGTGCAAGGATCAGAGAACTGACCAGTTCAGGTTGGATTCTATCCAAACCCAGTGCAACGTCCTACCTTTCTACTGATTGAATAGCCAAAAAAATAAATAAAACAGCAGTGTGACCCATCACAATCATCATCATCCAGCAAATAAGAAAAGTCCTCAACCATCAAATGCCTGGGCTTATCAACTAAGAAAATAATGTTAAGGAAATATATTTACGGTATCACTAAATTGAAACATCTTAGCACAGAGCCATTGTTCATGTATGTTTTAGGAAGTTAGAAGCTTTCGCTTTCAACGGGCCCAAACACAACTGTGTGTATTTGTCCTGTAGAAGCACAGCACTGAGCATGAGGCATCAAGCATCAGGGTTAGTCTTGCTTGGGGGTTATAAACTGAAGCTGGCACATTTAAAGGTGGAAGAGTTTTTTTCTAGATTCACTGTAATATGTCCTCCCGTGAGACTGTTTGTTTTTTGTTTAGGGGGAGAAGGGGATGAACGGGATTAAATTGTTTTAGTCAATGAGAAACATTCCTGTTCTCTCTGGCTCATGAAAACTCATCACTTAAAATTTTGCTTGTTTTGTGTATTACCTAGGGATGCCTGACATGAAAGGTGTTTTATAAATGTATGTAGAGGCCAGATGTATTGCCAGATGTTGTACAGGAAAAAAATGCACTCCAGCTAAACAGCTCCTGTTTGTATTTAATTTTTCTCTCACAGAGTCTTAGGGCCAGAGACGATATGACAGCAGCAGACTCATGCAGAATTTGGTTTGCCACCAGATCCCTATAAAATGATGGGGGGTGTGTGTGTGAGAGAGAGAGAGTGCAATTTAAATGCAGTGGTGCCCCGCAAGACGAATGCCTCGCAAGACGGAAAAACCGCTAGACGAAAGGGTTTTCCGTTTTGGAGTTGCTTCGCAGGACGAATTCCCCTATGGGCTTGCTTCGCAAGACGAAAATGTCTTGCGAGTCTTGAATTTTTTTTTTCGCTTTTCCCCCCCTTTATCTAATCTGCTAAGCCTTTAATAGCCTTTAATAGCCTTTTAGCAGCTAATCCCCTAAGCCTTTAAGCCTTTAATAGCCGCTAAACCGCTAATAGCGCTAATAGCGCTAATCCGTCAATGGGCTTGCTTCGCAAGACGAAAAAACCGCTAGACGAAGACTCTCGCGGAACAGATTAATTTCGTCTTGCGAGGCACCACTGTGGTAACATATGCCGGCAAGGAGCATAAAAGTCTCGCTGATTCCACCACCAATGTTTCCTTCCAAGAGCACTTTTTAATTTTTTTACCTGGTGATGGCATGGGGCTGGTTCCGTTCTTCCCATACACCGGTCTGTGCTGCATTTTAAACCACCATCCCATCAATCCAGCTTGAATCTGAATTCCATCACACCTAGTTGCAAGACCTATGAAATCTCCTTTGTCCATATATGCCCACTCGACTACTGCGATACTTGTTCCACATTTGTAACAAGTCACTCTTTTAATGGCAGCACTCACTTTGGAACTCCCGGCCTATTGACATCAGGTAGACATCTTCACTGTATGCTTTTTGGAGCTATATCTATTTGTTTAAGCAAGCCTACCATATCAGCAAATTTACAAACTTTCATTCGTAATGTGTCATTCCCAAAGGCAGAAATGCCATTTCTTTTTCAGAACTCTCTATAATGAAACAAATAATATCTCAAGATGTGTAGTAAGATTTTGAAATTTCCATTGAAGGAACTTCAGTTGCATTTTAATTTCTCTTCTAACCTAACATCTACACTTCTTTTCAACTGGAAAGTTTCTTAAAGACTTTCACAATGAAGCTGGCGGGAAAAAAGAATTCAAAATCCTCCCCTAATGCAAGCAGCAGCAACAAACCACGCCATCCATGGCTTATGCTGCAGGCACAAAATACATTTACAGTGGTACCTCGGGTTACATACGTTTCAGCTTACATACGCTTCAGGTTACAGACTCCACTAACCCAGAAATAGTGCTTCAGGTTAAGAACTTTGCTTCAGGAGGAGAACAGAAATCGTGCTCCGGCGGCGCAGCGGCAGCAGGAGGCCCCATTAGCTAAAGTAGTGCTTCAGGTTAAGAACAGTTTCAGGTTAAGTACGGACCTCCGGAACGAATTAAGTACTTAACCCGAGGTACCACTGTAATGCACTTTTATATCCCATGGCTTCCCCCAAAGCATGCTGGGAACGGTAGTTTGTTAAGGGTGTTGAGAGTGGTTATGTGACCTCTCACAGAGCTGGTAATTGCAACTCAGTGAGAGGTCTCCTAACTGGTCTTAGCACCCTTAACAAACTGCAGTTCCCAGGATTCTTTTGGGGAAGGAATGTGCTTTAAAAGTTTGTCAAGTACAGAGCCTTAGTACTATGTTCAAATGGAGGGTTGTGACTTACACAGCCCCCAGTTCAGATGTTAACATTAAACCAGTGATCAGATCATGTTTTGTTGCTCCTGCGTGGGCTAGGGGAGGAGGGAAGCAGGGGAAAGATCTCTGTACAGTGGTACCTCGGGTTACAGACGCTTCAGGTTACAGACTCCGCTAACCCAGAAATAGTACCTCGGGTTAAGAACTTTGCTTCAGGATGAGAACAGAAATTGTGTGGTGGCACCGCGGCGACAGCAGGAGGCCCCATTAACTAAAGTTGTACCTCAGGTTAAGAACAGTTTCAGGTTAAGAACGGACCTCCAGAAGGAATTAAGTTCTTAACCCGAGGTACCACTGTATTCACAATGTGGCACAATGGTTAGAGTGTTGGACTAGGACTTAGGAGATCAGGGTTCAAATCTCCACTCAGCCATAAAGCTCACTGGGTGACCTTGGCCAGTCACCATCTCTTAGCCTAATCTACATCACAGAGTTGTTGTGAGGAGGAAATGGGGAGAAGGAGAACCAAGTACACCACTTTGAGATCCTTGGAAGGTAAAGGTTGTATATAAATGTAATAAAAAGTAATAATAATTTCATATTTTACCAGTATGCTGCTACAGCATCTAGACCAGTGAGCCAGTATGTAGTTAAGAAAAAATTATCCTGCCTCCCTGAACATCATAGCTAGGAAAACAAAAAGGGAAAGGAGAAGGAAGCTCCCCTGGCATATGAATAAATATATGCAAAAAGTGGAGAATTTTATTGACCTATGATCCTAAGAAAGGGATAGCTGCTAGCTTTGGACAATCCAAAGAGGACTGTCGCACTTGCCTGTCTCCCAATATTCTTCTCACAGTAATTTGCAAACACAAAAAAAATCAAAGTTGCTATTTTAATATCTGCAGTAATTCAATTTGTATTCTTAAAATAATTTCCAGAGTGGTAGATGTGTTAAAAAAATTGTAGCAAAACCAGAGTCTTATGACACCTTAAAAGCTAGCACATTTATTATGGCATAAGCTTTTTTTCTGGTAAAGTCTAAATCAAAGAAGCTAGAGTTTGTTTCATCGGATTCTCTACATTATATATTTCATAAACCTTCAATTCTGTCATTTGTAATAAAATTTTAAAAACCCTCACTTCTTGCTCCAAGTTTACCATCTATAGCCACCATCTTACAAACAAGTGTTAATTTCAAGGTTCAAAAAATTGCCTACTTGAGTAAATTTATGTATGTATTCATGTTTACTGAGCTGACACCTAATTATGCACTAACTAAAGGAAGATATAAGAAGTAATGATTGACAATTTATTCAGTTTATGGAGTTTGACAATAGTAAATTTTGTGTATTTCACACATTGTACAGAGAATCAAATAACATTTTTGCTACACCAACATACAAAAGTTTTTTAGTAGTAAAAAATAACAAGTACTGACATAAGCGGTTCAAATGAATGTTGTATAATTTATGTTACCTTAGCAATGTGCATGTTACTGCAGCATATGCTCTTTCAATGCCACTCTGGTAATGTCAGACGATCTAGGCAACAATGGCGGCAGGTGCCTATTGGAACTGGCGGGGCGGAAGATGGGGAGACCACCAGTAAGTGGAGCCAGAGCCAATAGCCAGCAGAGCCAACTTAATTCTAGTATTGTCCATGTCACTTTCCCTGCTCAATTCTAATAGGACAACACTGAGACTAAGAAGGAGGAAGCTGGCCAGAAGTGGCGCCTCTTAGATTGACTGCAACGAAGATAGATTGCAAGTAACTGGGTTGATTACAAGAAAGAAGGCACACAGGTGGAGGCAGACTGAGTTTGGCCCCCATTGGCACTAATGTGCAGACCTCCACTGCAGACCACCCTGACCCAACCAGTCATCCTCCAGTTTTTTGGTCTATAACTGCAATTAGCCCCAACCAGTAGTAGACCAAAACAACTGGAGCGCACTGGGGTGGGGTTTTTTTTGGGGGGGCAATCTAGGACATATGATGAGTTCTTGATGCAGTTACAGTGGTGCCTCGCAAGACGAAATTAATTCGTTCCGCAAGTCTCTTCGTCTTGCGAGTTTTTCGTCTTGCGATGCACGGTTTCCCATAGGAATGCATTGAAAATCAATTAATGCGTTCCTAGGAAGCCGCCTTCAGACTCAGGTCCGGGGACAGTCTGTCCCCGGACCTCTTCTGAAGGCTGGGGGGGGGCAAGGGCTTTTCGGCCCACCCCCAGCAAATTAAACAACCCCGGGACAGCGGAGGACTTCTCCGCTGTCCGGGGCAACTTAAAAGCCCCTGGGAAGGCAGGCAGGGGGACAAAGACTTTGCCCCCGCCAGCCTTCAGAAGAGGTCCTGGACCTCTTCTGAAGGCGGGCGGGGCGAAAGTCTTGCTCCCCGCCTTCAAAAGCCCTCCGGGACAGGCAGGCAGGGGAGCAAAGACTTTCGCCCCCGCCCGCCTTCAGAAGGTCTTCCCTCCCCCGCCCGGCCGGAGCACCGTTCCGAAGCCGGGCAGAGCGGAGGTCTTCCCTCCCCCCGCCCGGCCCGGGCACCGTTCCGAAGCCGGGCGGCGGCGGCAGGTGTTCCCTCCCCCCCCGCCCGGGTTCGGGGCCCCGTTCCGAAGCCGGGCGGCGGCGGCTGGGGGTCCCTCCCCCCGCCCGGCGTGGGCGGAGCCGTCCGAAGCCCGGCGGCGGCGGGAGGAGGTGTCCCCGCCCCGCCGCCAGGCTTCGGAGGAGGTCCGAGGACAGTGGGGAAGACGCACTGCGCTTCCCCGCTGTCCCTGAGATTTCCCTATGGGCTGTCGTCTTGCGAAGCAAGCCCATAGGGAAATTCGTTTTGCGAAGCGCCTCCAAAACGGAAAACCCTTTCGTCTAGCGGGTTTTCCGTCTTGCGAGGCGTTCGTCTTGCGGGGTACCACTGTACTTAGTACACCAGCCTCTCCCCACTTAGGGCTTATTCACACTTACTATTTGCCCCACACTTTTGAGGCACAGGCTCACGCTTTCAAGCACCACATCCAAGCACTTTCCCCACCACCACCTTTCCCCAGAAAACCTGATCTTTGCTTTGATTTACTGGTAGAGAGCAGGTTTTTGCAGGGAAAGCAACGGGGGGCGGGGTACTCAGACATGGAGCTTTAAGGAATGGACCTGTACCTAGAAACTTGGCACAAAAGGAAGTCAGGATGAGCCATTTTGTCTCCAAGAGTAGTGTGCTGTTCCTAGGTCACTGGTTCTAAACTCTCATTATGATCATTGATAGTGTCTTGGGCTTTATTTGTTTTCTAATGTAGCAACAGCTACCTAGAGTCTTTTTCAAATCAATATTTATGATCCCTCCTTGTGATTCTTTTACGTTATAAGATTCAGATTACTATTTCAAACTCACACACTCTCATGACTTAAAATGTAGGTACTTCTCCCCATTTGGCTTGGTTTGCTCTCCTATGCTAAAATTGTGTTGTAATGCTTGTTTTCAGTCACTTGGTGTTGGTTTAGTGGTGTTTGCTTCAACATCTGTGAAGATATAGCAAACAACACAGTAGTGACACCTAGTGATAGAAAAAGAGTATTAACATTCTTAAGACTAAAGAGACTGCTGTTGACTGCAGGGGAGCCTGGAAACAGACATCCCTTGAACTATGGAAGAACAAAAAGTAACTCTCCAGTTCTGTATACTGTACATTGAACAAACCATTTAGAGGGAACAAGGAATGCTCAACTACATAACACTGTTTTTTTAAAGAAAATACTGCTCTGTAGTGGTTTTTCTCTCTCATTTGAGTTTTAATAGAAACCAATGTATACTATGACAGAAGGAAAACAAGCCCAAGTTGGGTAAACTGTTGTTAGGACATACCCCAAAGTATTACTTTTAGAACCCAACAGTCCTGACTGACCTTGGGCCAAAAGTGCAATGCTATTTTATTATTTACTGAATTTATATCTTGCCCTTCCTCCCCAAGGAGCCCAGCATGTTGTCCTTTCCTTTACTCATGTTGGTGATCTAGTAGTTCACCAAGCAGCAGTCATGGCTTCCTATTTTCATACTCTGCATAGTTTCTAAAAGGAGAACTACAACTGGGAGGAAACCGTGCCTTTTGATCAGGAAGCCCATCCCCACAATCCCATCTGGAGTGCATGTGTGGCCAAGTTGCGAATTCTTTTAGCAGACTTTTTGAAACGAAGAAAGGCTTCATGGTAAGAGAAAAGAGATCTTGCGCCTTTAAGATCCCTGGCAGAGGCCAGCTCTCCCTTCTCCGCGGAGAAAACTGCACCTGTGCAACTTCGGCCTCCCACGGAAAAGACGAAAGGAAGTGGCTACGAAAAGCCTACGGAGAAGGAGATTCTCCCGCGCAGGCTGTGCGCGCAGAAGGGGCAGCCGGAGAAGATCCTGGTCCTTTTCAGAATAAGAAAGGACGCCCCCAGAAAGTTCTCCACGCCGCCCTCCTGCAAACATAGCGAGCAGCGGGGAGTTGGGAGCCATTAAAAGGTAAGCAGAAGTTAAAAACAGATGAGGAACCGCTGCTGAGAGCCACTCAGGCAGCATTGGAACTTGCTGCGAGAAGTTTCCCCTCAGCTCCTGCGGAAATGATTGGACGCGCATCCAGCGCAGAGCCATTAGTACAGCCGCAGGGAAGGAGGGCCGCATCCCCCGCAGGTCTCTGGTCCCGGGCAACCTTTCAGGCAGGCCTCGCCTCCCCCTGCCTATCCCACCCGAGACCGAGGGCCATTATTCCCCACCATGCTTTGCGCCCAGAGAGTGTGGGGTTGAGCGGGGGGGGGGGAGGTGGGAGAGAGGAGCACCCGCACAGCTGCTTGGGTCTCTCTCCGCTCCCTCCCGAGACCGCAGAGGAGCAGCAGCAGCAGCAGGGCGCGCGCGGACTGACCCGGGACCGCGAGCGCCCGCCCCTTTCCCGGCACCTTCCCTGCCCAGCCTGGTGGCGCCGGAGCCCCGCCCCGCAGCGCTCCGATTAGCCGCAGCCCCGAGTTTCCTTAGCTTCCTTGGCCGGCCATTGGGCGGGCCGGGGCTGTCGATTAGCGGCGCCCTCGCGCTCCGATTGGACGGAGCTGCGCCGTGGGCCGGCTGCGCTGTCAGTCAGGGGAACTGGTTCGGGCAAAGGAAGGAAGGAAGGAAGGAAGGAGGGGAGCCGAGGAAACATCTGGCTGCCGCAGCCCGGGCCCGTCTGTGCCGCCGCCGCCGCCGCCGCGCGTGCTCTTGCGCTGCGTGCGCCGGGCTCCCCGCCCCTCCCTCCTCCTTCCCGCTCTGCCGGCCCGGGATCCTCCGGGGCGCTGCTGCTGCTGCTACCATGGGGAGCCGTTGAGGCAGCGCGGGGGCCGCTTCGCTCCCACCTTCCCCCCCCGCCTTCTTCCTCCCCCCCGCCCCGCTCTCGCTGCCCCGCGGGGCGGCCCCTCACTCTCTCGCTGCCTCGGAGGCGGGGAGCGGGCGGGACGCCGGCGGGGGGCGCGGGGAGCCCGGAGCGGCGGAGGGGGGCAACGGCGGCCGGAGGAGGAAGAAGAGGAGGAGGAGGAGGAAGAGGAAGCAGCGGCGGCGGCGGCGGCTCAGGGAGACTTGGGGGCCGCTCCAGAGTGTGAGTCCCGACCGTGACCCCCCGATGGGACTGGGCGGGCGGAGGGGGGCTGGGCTGAAGCAGCAGGTTGTTGTCGCGGGGGGAGGGAGTTGTGGGGCGGTTAAGGAAACTTAAGTGTGCGGGGTAGGAAGTTGTGGGGGCAACGGGAGGGCCCTCGGAGGGGTTGACTGGCGCGGAGGCAACTGGTGAACTGGTGAAAGTGAACTGGGGGGTGGGGAGGGGGCTCTGCGAGTGGAAATCTCCCCCTCCAAAGCGGGAAGCCAGAGGGTCTTGTGGGGGGTGGGGGGAGTTGGTTGGGGTTAGGAGCAGATGAGGCGTGGCGTGTGGGTCAGTGGGTCAGGGTGGAAAGTGAACATTCCTGAATGGTAGGGGTGGAAGCAGGTGTGTTTCTTGTGGCGGCTTGTACAGCACCAGGTGCAGCTACGTGTGGACTGGAGATGTGGGGCAGAGCAGGTCCAGCCCCTGAGCAAGAGTTCGCAGCTTCCCATGCAGGGTGGGAGAGTGAGGAGGTTTTGCTGGGGGACGGGGGGGGGCTGGGCTGAGCTAAGGAACAGATGGGGGGAACAGAGACGAAGTCCTTTGTGTGTGGCAGAGGCAGTGTGTATGTGTTTTGTTTTGCAGCTCAGGAGGTCAAGGGGGGGTAGGTGATCTGGGGAGCAATGCAGCTGTGGAGACAAGGCGGGGTGGCTGAGAAGAGAGCTCTGCTCCCTCCAGGACTCTTGTGCTCAGTTCTTCCAGCTACTTTCCTTTTGTTGTTGCTCTGGTTACTGTGATCTGGTCTGTTCTTGCATTTGTCTGCTTTCTTCTGTCCTGTTGGTGCTTCTTTTCCTCACCCACCTCCCCCTTCTGTGCATTTGCTTTGCTTTTTGGTTTCTCTGCACTCTTTACAGAGTGTCAGAGGGCTGGATTAAGTTATAGTTGGTTTAATCGCCAACTTTGTTTCTCCATGAAGAGTGAAAGTGTGGGTGTTAATCTGCCCCATATTCACCCAGTTTCTTTTTCGAATTTTTGGTATTCTGATAAGAATGGTGGCAACTAGGGCAGGGCTTGGATTAGATGATGGCTACTGCTATAGGTGTTCATAGTTATGAATAAATGGTGCGGAGAAGTTAGTTCATTGAGCGTAAAGTTAGTTGATGGCCTGGGAAAGTCAGTCAGGGAGACTCATTCTGCTGTGTTGTTCATTCTGCTTTGTTGAACAGCTCATTTCATTTTAGTTTATTGCTCCTTTATACATGATACTATCCTGTCAAGTAAAAAGAGATCAAAACAATTTTTCCCATGCTCAGTAAAAAAAGTTACATGTTTTAGTGTAGGTGGTAGTACTGCTGCCCCCATTCATTAAAATCAACACATTATTCAATATTTCACACCAATATTTGACAACCCTCATTTGAGCAAAAATGCCATATTTTGCAGTGCAGAGGACAAAGTATTAAAAGGAGAAGTGTTATTATTTTTCTATGTCTTGTTTTTTCAAGTGCAAAATGCAGTACAACTTGAATTTGGACTCCCTATTTATTTTATATTAAGTGTTCTGAAAGAACATTGGGTTTCATTACTATATACAAATTCCTAAGCACTCTGTTTTTTACGTGAGTAAAATACTCTGACAGAGTATGGTATTTGTACAGTCTTTAAAAAAATAAAACAAAGAACCCCCTCGATGTACAAAGAAGGGGTTCATTGAGATAAACCAGTTGGAGAAAAGTCATCTGCTAAAACGAACCTCTGGGTTCAGTTAAAATGGTTTGGTATGGCTTGAGTAAGTTCTCAGTGTATGAAAGACTCTGCAAAGTTGTGACAGAAGGGTTGCTATACTGTATATGCAGTGGAGCCCCATATGTTTAAGGGTTTTTTTCCCCTACTTTTCTGTTTTAGAAAGTTTTGAAAAAAGAGACTTTGAAGTATTTTGTTTATACTAACAGACAAGAAAAGTTCTCCTAAGAAAAAGCTGGTGGCAGGAGTGTAGAGGAGTAGCATATGGCATTAAAAGGAGCACAGCTGGAGGTAGCATTTCCATCTGAACATGATGTCAGAGCAGCTGACAGCCTGCCATCCCTCAGCCTTTTATTCTAACACACAGACAGAGAGTGAGTGTGTTTGCAGATCTGTGTGTAGGGAAGGTATCTCATTCCTCTCTAACATCATCTCCACTTTGCATCTGTCTCTCTCTTAGTCTGCTTTTTTTCCACCGATCTAACAGACCTGGAGCCAGCAAGACTCGGACAAAAGGACTTAATCAGGTTTATGTGTGCTAAAGGTAGGAACAGCAGTAGGCTAGCTACAGTGTATTTCTCTCTTGGTGTTTGCTTATCTAATTTCAGAATAAGAACCCCATTACTTGTTTAATGAGGTTTAGGAAGAACAAGTACAATTCAGTGAAAAGGGGATAAGAGTTTGTATTGTAATTAAGCTTGGAATATGTATTGACCTGTTTGTTCTTGTGCAGTTGTATCAAAAGTAACTCTTAAATGATGTAGTTCCCCTATTTTTATTTTCTCGGTCAGTAAGACAGCAATTCATACTGCAGGGGATAAATGTTATGGCCATACAGTAATTAAATATTCTGATGCCGCTGCTACTTAAGGATAAAAAAGAAGGGTTTGAAATAACATGCAAGATAGAAACCAAAGTACATATGAATTCCTTGTGTGTGGTGATTTTCACTATTCAACTTTATTCTTAAAGCCGCTGAGAACTCCAGAAATCCACAGCCTTACTCTTTCTGAAAAAAATTGGAAATCATTTGTGGGTTAAACTTTAGAACCCCCCTCCTTCCCCAGAGAATAACTTCGCTAGTCTCTTCTTTTTCTTCCTTCCTTGGGTATATATTAAGGAAGTTCATTTCAATACAACAATAATTGTTTGAGGGGAGGTTTTTGTGTTCACGACTAATTTAGAACTTGTAGATTTGAGCTGCCTGAATTGGCCAGACAGCTGTAATCGCACTCCTCTATTCTTAATCTCTTTATCTGGGCAGCAGCTGCCATATGGCCACAGTCAGCTGGATCAGATGTTTATAAGCTTCCTTCTTCGTCCCTCTCTGTCCTTTCAGCCTCCTAATTTGATCACAGCTACCTTGTGAGCTGCCCTCCAATCTTTATTTTTAGCCCTCTTAAGGATTAGGATGGATGTTGGCTGTGGGGCACTTAAAGTGATTGTATTGTAAATCTTCTTGCTTTATTCCAGCAGTAGTATTTTATAGAATATACTTGGGACAGGATTATAACTTTTAAGAATATATCTCTTTGCCCAAAGATGCAGCTACTGTATGTAACTGCTTTAGCAAAACTTGGATTGCAAGTCACAGAAATGAGGAAAATACTTAAAGCCTTAAAGTAGAAACTTCCAGTGCTTGTTTCAAAAATCTTCTCTTCTAAAGAGGAATCACACAGACAAAACTACCAGAATAATGCTTGAAAGAGAGGGAAAGCAAAATTATTCAATCTTTTTTTGAGACATTTTTCTTATTATAGCATATTGGTCAAAGTATTCTCCAGAAATGAGATTAATAGAGGGGCAACCTCTTCTGCGTAACTTTCACTTGTTTACATTTTAGTGTGCTCTTTTGAAGTTTTTGCCTATGAATTAGGGTTGCTTTTCAAGAGAGAGAGAGAGAATACTGAAAAGACTAGCATTCCCAGATGAGGCCAAAATTTTATCTCTGCCAAAGCAATTTAGAAGAGCAGCCATTGTCATCTTGATCAGTTAAATATTATCTTCTATCCCTTCGCTGTAGAATTATGCATGCTACATTTCAAGTTTTTGCTTCTGCCCTCACATTGTAAGATTTGTTGTAACATTTAACTTCATCAAGCTTAATACTTGATCCCCCCCCCCCACTCATCTGATTGTAAAATAAGCTGCTAATATATCTCTGGAAGATGGAGAAAGAAGATAGTTGAATAGAAAGAAGCTATGAAAAGTTGACTAATTTATCCATGTGATTTGTTGCATGCTGTTGGAAATACGACTCATTAATAACTTCATATCTTGCAGAAATTGTAAATGGGTGGGCACATAACTGATTACTTCCAATGCTTAACTAAGTCTTTTTTCCTCCTAGGTTATGAAGACAGCATGGAGTTTCCTGACCATAGTAGACATTTACTACAGTGTCTGAGTGAGCAGAGACATCAGGGTTTTCTTTGTGACTGCACTGTTCTGGTAGGAGATGCCCAATTCCGAGCACACAGAGCTGTACTGGCTTCGTGCAGCATGTATTTCCACCTATTTTACAAGGACCAGCTGGACAAAAGAGACATTGTTCATCTGAACAGCGACATTGTTACAGCCCCAGCTTTCGCTCTCTTGCTTGAATTCATGTATGAAGGGAAACTCCAGTTCAAAGACTTGCCCATTGAAGATGTGCTAGCAGCTGCCAGTTATCTCCACATGTATGACATTGTCAAAGTCTGCAAAAAGAAGCTAAAAGAAAAAGCCACCACGGAGGCAGACAGTACGAAAAAGGAAGAAGATGCCTCAAGTTGTTCAGACAAAGTGGAGAGCCTCTCTGATGGCAGCAGCCACATGGCAGGAGATATACCCAGTGATGAAGATGAAGGAGAAGATGAGAAATTGAGCATCCTGCCTAGCAAAAGAGACTTGGCGGTCGAGCCTGGGAACATGTGGATGAGATTGCCCTCGGACTCGGCAGGCATTCCCCAGAGTGGCGGAGAGGCAGAGACACACGCAACAGCAGCTGGAAAAACAGTAGCCAGCCCCTGCAGCTCAACAGAGTCTTTGTCCCAGAGGTCTGTCACCTCCATGAGGGATTCGGCAGATGTTGACTGTGTCCTGGACTTGTCTGTCAAGTCCAACCTTTCCGGAGTTGAGAATTTGAACAGTTCTTATTTCTCTTCGCAGGACATGATGAGAAACAACCTGGTGCAGGTGAAGGTGGAGAAAGAGGCTTCCTGTGATGAGAGTGATGTTGGCACTAATGACTATGACATGGAACATAGCACTGTGAAAGAAAGTGTGAGCACTAATAACAGGGTACCGTATGAGCCAGCCCACCTGGCTCCTATGAGGGAAGATTCTGTTCTGAGAGAGCTAGATAGAGAGGACAAAGCAAGTGATGATGAAATGATAACTCCAGAGAATGAGAGAGTTCAGGTGGAAGGGAATATGGACAGCAGTCTGCTCCCTTATGTCTCCAACATACTTAACCCTGCAGGCCAAATTTTCATGTGTCCCCTCTGCAACAAGGTCTTTCCCAGCCCCCACATTCTGCAGATTCACTTAAGTACGCACTTTCGAGAGCAGGACGGGATCCGCAGCAAGCCTGCCACTGATGTCAATGTCCCGACCTGCTCCTTGTGTGGTAAGACTTTTTCTTGCATGTACACCTTGAAACGTCACGAGAGGACTCATTCAGGCGAAAAGCCGTACACTTGCACCCAGTGTGGGAAGAGCTTCCAGTACTCCCACAATCTGAGCCGCCATGCCGTAGTTCACACACGGGAGAAGCCACACGCATGCAAGTGGTGTGAACGCAGGTTCACACAGTCCGGAGACCTTTACAGACATATTCGCAAGTTTCACTGTGAGTTGGTGAACTCATTGTCTGTCAAAAGTGAAGCACTGAGCTTACCTACTGTCAGAGACTGGACATTAGAAGATAGCTCGCAAGAACTTTGGAAATAGAATTTTTATATATATAATTAATATATATATATATAAATCTATATAGTTGTGGTACAGTCTAAAAGCAGTCTTGTTTCCTTGAACTGAAAGTTTGGCCATTAGCTTGTTTTATGCACTTTAAGGCGGCATGAACATTTCATTACTTAGTGCTCTGATAATATGAACTATAGAAATGAGATTAATAGACTTCATAAATGTTTCCCCATCAAGTACTTCTTTTAAACAAAACTGCAAATGAAAATAATGTGATTTTTAGGTTCTATTTAACCTTCCATGCAACACTGCATCATTTCAAACTCCATTTAAAACAAAAAGCAAACAGAAATCCCCTCCAGTGTTTTATCAATTTGTTTAAATTTTTTAAAAAACTGCATGCATCTTTTCTAGCTGTGGGAAACCTGAATGCTTTTAGACCCAAACGATAAATTTCCGAAATGCTGGAGTATCTATTTTTAAACAAACGGTTGAGATATTGTAATTTGTGGATTACAACAGTTCCCAATTAAAAAACAAAAACCACCAGATTTTTGAAAATACACTGGAATTGCTGGGACTGTGTGAAGGTTTGCTTGGGATAAAAAAGGACGTTGCAGCTTCAGCAGTTGCGAACTGTGCATTTAAAAATGTGAATTACTGTTGTATACTGTAATTGATTAAATGGGCTGGGGGGTGTCAAGGAAATTGATAAGTTGTATTAATGCTCTCAGTTGAGTCTTGAAAAGTAAATATTAACGCTACGGAAATGCATGCGTTTCAGTATATTTTTGTCTTTGTTTGCATTGTATAACTTTAATGAGTGAGTTTTAAAACTTATTTAATTTTTTGTAGGAAAAAAAAACACCACTGGAAAAATTGGTGTTAATGAAGAACATAAATGCACTGTTTTTTATTTTATATAATTTAAATTAATTGCCCACTGTCTTTAAGTTGAACAAAAGCTACATGTTGATTTTAGCTATGTAAAGGAAGATAGTAATGTTTACAAACAGGCTTAGAGATTTGCATGTGCAGTGTACATTTATCAAAAAATCTGATTGCACAAAACTCATGCCAGCTCTAACTTTAGATGCATACATTACCCATATGAGCATTTTTAGAATTCCTGCTGCACAAATTAACAATAGGTCATTCATTTTTCGCCCCTTGAAAAGATTCTATGGAGTGAAAAAGCCCCAGGCTGAAAGGACTAGAAAACCTTGATTGACATGGGGTGGAATAGGGTGGGGTGGGGGAACGGCAGGAGAAAAGTTGGGGGAGGGTTTGTGAACTGTGTATCCAAGCAGCAAAGTCTGCAGCCTGACGTGTGGTTTTAATGATCAACACACGGGGCAAAAGCATTTTGCACAGTGTTTGTTTTCCTGTCTTGCACTTACAAATAAGGTCTATGGGAGTAGCATGGAAAATTGTTTTTTCTTCTTTCCGCTTTTGTTTAGAATTTGATCGCCTTAACTACTGTAAACATAGCCTATTTTTGTGCTTAAGAAAAACTGAATGGAAAACTCCATTGTGTATTGCTGGACTGTTTTGGAAATATTTTGGTCAAATGTATGTTAATTTGGCTGTAATGGCATTTAAAACAAAAAAAAAAAGCTGTGAAAATGGCCTTGGAGCATTATTTTTAGTTACTTGAATAGTCTAGGTTTTAAAAATACATTCTTTTTATTAATTTAGAAAAGACAATCAGTGTCTGAGAAAAATGGACTACTTTTGGAATTTTTTTGTGGACGTGAGTGATTGTTTTTTCGGGGGAGGGGGCTTGGCTTTTAGTTTCACATTCTTCTTTGGTTCTAAAAATTAGACTGACATCTAGCTTTGACAATCATAGTATGTTTTATTTTCCTGAGGGGGAGGGGGAATAACTTATAATGCTGTTTAGTTTTGTACTATTGGTGTGTTGGTGAATTTTTAAACTGTGTGCTAACTGCAATAAATTATACATACTGAGAAATCAATTAGTTGTCTTCGCCCCTTTTTAAACACTTAAACTCTAGACAATTTTCTATAATGTACTATATATGTCACCTTTTGTCCAGATTCTTCTTGGTGACTTTGATTTTAAAAAGTAAGACTATTTCACAATCTGTAACAAAAATGATTTATGACAGGCAAATGTAACATTTTAAAACGCAGCGTTAAAAAAAATTCTCTGTTCTACAATGAGAAAGAATAGTTACTTTGCTATTCAATAAGTAAGACTGTTCTAAGTTTACGAAGGTGTTAAACTCTAAAATCTGTCAAAACTTATTTATGTTACATATGTGGACAGTGTGAATTGGGATGGGTAAGAGAGAAAAAGTAACAATTTGATGAAATTATTAGTTAACAGCTGGAACCCACAAAACCGAAACAGTGGCTGTCCCAAATAGTTTGCATTCAAGTTACCTGAATTTGCCCTAACCACTTTTCATTATGTAAGAATAAAGAGCCTGTCTCTCAAATTCATCAGTGAATTTATCATATTTTGGTAGACAAGATTTCCTAAAAATGTCTAGGCAAACCATTGAAATGGAACTCCTTTACTAATTGTGTGGTGAAAAGATGTCTCCTCATTATAGAAGAAGCTGGGGTTATGATCCTAATCAGGATCTAGCTACTTTTGAAGCATATACTATGGCGCACAAAAAATATTGAGAGTATTATGTACTAAAGGAAAGCTATACTGTATTGCCATTTAGTTAGGTACAATTTTCACAGTGCTTAGTGCACTTCATCCCAGTTTTTCAAACAATTGTTGTATGTAACCTCAACATACATTTAGAACTTTTAAAAAAGAAATTTTGTTACATGAATTTATTTAAATCTTGCACTTATTAAAAAAAAATGCCGTTTTCTCCTAGAAGTCTCTAACAACACTTGGTTTAGACTTCATTTTTGTGAACTGTAAGATCACTTATGGACAGTAAAATTCAGATTGCAACTCTAAGTATAAGATGCAAAGTCTCAAGAGGCTTGTTTCTCCGAGATGAGAATTTTCAAATAACGTAGAGGAAATCTGAGATAACTAAGCGTCTCTATGAAGGAATTTAGCATCCACTTGTGGACATAGTGTCAATTTCTTCAAACTAGCCTCTTCTTCCGCCCAAAGCTCTTGGAAGTCTGGAAGAAGTTGTGATTAAAATAAAGTTCCGCAATGCTTCATTTAAAGGTGTGTTTGGGAAACGAACCGAACAGGTACCTGTAATCTAAGAGCAAATGCTGAGGCTCACTTCTGCATATACGAAGAGTGCGTATTATTGCCACAGATAAGCTGTTTTAATTTCCAAGTCGTTCGTTTTTCCATATGAAAATGAAGCGGTCCTTCCATGGGCTATGCCACTATCTTAAGTGTTTGTGATGCTCTGGCTTGTAATAACATTGTGTGGCACAATCCTCCTGGGGTGCGGAATGGTAGTAAAACACCTGGGTATAAACAGGAACAAAGCTTTTCTATCACCCTTGTCAGCAGAGCTGGCATTTGTAGGTCAGCTGGAAAAGAGGGTTTTTTTAAGGGGGGGGTGAAGCAGTGACAGAAAATGACTCAGAATTGTACAATACTGTAAGCCTAAACATCACAAGGATTATTACACTTGGAACTGAACTCCGTGAATTTGATTGGTCTTGCAGCAGTTAAAAGACTGCAGTTAAAAGCTGGAGACTTGTTCTTGTATTCATCACACAACTTACCGAGCAACAAGGACATAACTTTTGCTAGTAATTGTTAAAATGCAGTATTTCACACTTTATTATGGAATGTCACAAGTGTGTATATGCTCATTCACAGCACAGGGGAGGAGAAAGGCAAGATTTTTCTTTTTTTTAAAGACCCTGCAATGCAATGATGCAAGATAATATAGTGTTCAAAATAAACTATTATACAGTTGAAAATAAAACCTGCTATTTACTTTGCTGTTTGCTTTTCTTACTAGCAGCTGCATTTGTTCACCTGTTCAGGAAGTATGCTGAGGTTCACTTTTCCTGCTGAATTAAAATATTTGCTTTGCTGCAAAAGCAATGTTTGAGAAATGTAGTGTCGTATCCAAAGTTATGCGCCTTTGAACATGATCATGGGCATTTTGCTGCTTTTCAGTTTCCTCAGACCTGGGAACAAATCCTTTCTTTCTAATTGGTACAAAATCCTGTTTGGAATAAATTTCACATACTTTGAATGCTTCTTTATGTACAATGCAAATACTTGGTTGATAGAAAATTTTGCTTAACAACTATAGTTCTTCCAGTTCAAATTTAAAGTGAGCACATTAAATTCAAATGAGAATTTGGAACTATGCATGTATTTTCAACATTAAAGCACGCATGAGTTATCTCGATAAGCATGGAATATGGTTAAATCGCTAATCCAGCTATGATAACTTGTCTTTATTTAAAGAGTTCAAGGATGGTTGGTATAAAAATACTTCTATAATAATTGAAGATGTGGAGAATAAGAGGGTTCAGTTTAGGATAAGAAAAATTGAGTTGTCTGTTCCTCAATTTTGTAAATTTTTGTAAAATTGTTAATTTTGTCAGCTGCACTCAGTTGATATTTGTGTTGAACGCATTTGGATGATTTAGCGCACTGATATTACAATTTTTATCCCTAACCAGAACGACCTTTAGAACCCCCACCCACCCACAACTCTTTAGCGAAAAGTTAGGATTGTATTATCCTCTGTCACTACATTACAACAGCAAATGCAAAAAGAATGCTTCATGGTTAAAGCCTAGAGCAATAAGCTCATTCTAGTGTAATAAAATCCAACTAAACCTGTTAGCAGCTCTTACTGATGACAGATTGTGCATTTTTGCCAATATTTAGGGGGCAAAAGCATTGCTTTTTACCAATTTTAACTATCCTGTTAAATGCTGTTTTCACCTCACTTTAAGCTGCAGTCTGTACCTGCTTTAGAGTGAAAGTAGGCATGAGTTAAACGTCATTTGTAGTTACTGTTTGTAATTGATCTTCTAAATGCTGTCTCAAGCAAGAGGGGTGAGTATCCAGTAAAATCTTGGTGTGTTTTCTCTCT